TGGTTTAAAGTATTCAAAATGTTCTGAAACAAAAACTTGTTTCTGCTGTTCTTCAGTCTCCTGCAGCCGATGCTTCACCTCTTAGTTCAGCCTCAGTTCTCATGGTTCTTAACTCCAGATGCAGCAGCGCATCTCAGAAATTAAACACCCGCACTCTTTTACTGGAATTAGCATAAATTATCTCCCCTCCTTACTGTTTGGAGCAGTCACCACCACCAGGACCTTTTCACCGGTTTCTTCCCTGGCATCTCACTCTAAGCGATTATGGTTTCTCTTGCAGATAAATGAAAAATGTAAATATGTTTTATGTAAACAACAGAAGTGGATGTAGAGCAGGAGCAACGTAAGGAAGTCTGCACTCTGCCAGACGTATTAATCTCCTTCTCTTCAGCGACGCAGCATGGCAGCTCGTCTTCACTCCTCCTGCTGTTTTCCTCCAGCTTCCTCTGAAATTACCGTCAGTAATCTGTTTGGCACCACATCAGGTCTCAGAGGGGAGAGAAAAAAAACCCAAAACAAGATGCAGGTCTTAAAGAGAAATAAACATTTTAATTAGCGGTTTGGCACTGATAAAGTTAGACCTCTTATTTTCCTGGAGGTTTAAACAAAAACATCTGGATTTAAGTTAAATAATCAGAGATAGAGTAAAATGCTTCAGGCACAGCTTGGCAAGTAGAAAGAAACTGTCCGTCTTTCACAGAGAGCAACAGAATGTTTGGAGACATTTAGCTTTGCCTGTACATAAAAATCTATAATCAATACATCGACTCCCAGACACCATAACACATTTGGTCCAAACAACCAGTTTTTACACTAAGGCTGTGTTCACACAGCAGGGCTTGATGCTTAATTTAGATTTTTTACAATGTCAGTCAGACTTCTATGTGAACAATTTACATTCACAAAATGACTCAGGAAGTAATAATAAATCATTTATTGATTTTAAAGTTTATTCAGCAATGGGAGCCAACAGTATTGTCACAAGATCATTAGATTTTTTTCTGTAGTCAATTAAAAAAAACTGTTTTGATTACACAAAAACTATAAGCAATGATCAGATCACAGTGATCTGATCTGTTGACTATAACCCGGTAATAACTGGATAACAAAATGTGCTTTACAGAAGTTATTTTATACAGAATTTAAGCAAGGTGAAGCTACAGCTAGGCCATTTGAGTTCTGGGTAAAACATATTTACAGATAAAAGTTGCTCTTCTTTATCTTAAATGCCAAATGCATTTTTGATCAGTTTTGGCTTAATTACTGCTCTAAGTGTTCTTTCAGAAATGTACCATTTCAAAAAAATCTGTACATTTTAGTAAATTTATAGACTAACCCTTGTCTGTCCGGATGTGACATCAGAGGCTGGAGTGGTCTGACTAGGATTGTGATTTGCTATAAGTTTATCATTTTAGTTTTCAACCATTGTGACATGCAGGATTGTGACTCATGATCGTTCAGACTGCAGATCAAAAAACAATCAGATATGTGTCTGATATAGTTATGGAAATTGCACAAATCAGATTTTTTGGGTGAAAACGTTGGATCTGGGTTGCATCACCTGCTATGTGATCGTAGCCTTAGCTGAGTGTTGAGGTCCAGGAGGGAAACCCGGTGCAGGATCTTTGTTTTAGTCCTGAATCACCAGCGCAGACGCTCCAGTACGTCACAGAGTGATTCTTTTACTTCTCTTCTCCATCCCAGCATTACTCACAAACAAAATTTAGGAACACCAAACACTGAGGTTTTCTTCTTCACTGGTGATCAACACTGTCACTTTTCTTTCTTTTGAGTCTCTTAGCTCTGCTGTTTGTTGTGGTTGTTGGTTCAATTCCCCTGAAGCCAAACATCTGGGGGACTAAATGTCTGTTTCCTGCTGTTATTTGTCCTCATTTCCTGTCTTTGTCCAGACAGCTGAGGTATTTCCCCTGCTTCTTCCTTTGCCTCCAGGAAGTGGTTTCAGCAACCTCCAAAACATTTCAGGGGAATGTTGTTACTCTGTGTCCTGAAACTGGAGGCACTTGGATGCCTCCAGTTCCTCTTCTTCACTAGAAGAGGAAAATGCGACAGACTCATATTTTAGTTTCCTTGTAGTCGGTTCTGAAGGAGTCTCTGATCGCCAACAAACCCGAAACCAGGAGGTGTCCGCTGACCTTCCTGTGCCAGTCCGGAGACCGTCCCCTGAAACAAAAGACGAGTTAGGAAGTGGATTCCCTCTGGAGTCTTTCACAGCAACAACACAGACATTCTATGGTTCTAGTGCTCAGAAACATAGCAAAAAAAATTTTTTTCCAAAAAAAGCCCCAACATGATCTGGGAGATCCATTATGGGAAGCTAGATTCCTTTTTTTTTCAGTTCAATTGGGAACCGAAGTTGCAACATTTGTTGCAGACTATAATACATCACAATAACATATTCAGGCCTGTCATGATAACAAATTTTATGTCATTTGTGTCACATAAAATCCAACAACTATTTTCCCACCATTACAACTGGCCTCCAGTGACTGCCTGCAGTTACCTGGTGTCAGTGCGACAGAGGTGAGTCAGTCGGGTCCTGATGGCCCCTGTGGGCTCCAGCAGGTAAAGGCAGCAGTGGACCTGGACCCTGACTCCGTCTGCTTGGACCTCAGGGACCTCAGTCGACATGGAGGACAGGTACACAGGCCCACAGGACGAATCTGCTTGCCAGGTTCTGATCAGAAGAAGAATATGATTCAGAATGTTCAAAGACATAAGATCAATCTAGAGTTTACGGGAGTTGTCACAATACTCCCACAGACGTCTCTGCCTACATATTTATCTATATGTCGACTGAGGAAAAGATTTAGCTGCTCAACATCTCACTGAGAGCTAAGTAAGGTTGGTGGCATCAACTAATTCTAACACTAACTCTTTGGTTACCTAGCAATAACTTGTTGAGCAACTTGTGCAGCAGCAGTTTAAGGTTTGCCTCATAACTGCTTAAAAATAAAAAAGAGTGGAGAGAAAACTGTAGATAAAATAGGAAAGGTCACAGCACCAATTTAGCAGTATTTTACATATTTAAAACAAATGTATTCAATAATTATCAATAACTGGTATATATCACTATATATGTATAATGTGATATAAGTATATTGTGGTAAGTCTATCAGTCGTGTCGTCCAACCGTAGTTCACATGAAGAGAGCTTTCAAGATAAGTTGTTTAAATATGATTTTATCAATCCAATCAAATGACATCAGTGTGACAAGTTGTTCAAAATTAATTAACTGTAAGATGTACTAATCGAATGAAGATAAAGCTTTTATTAAGTTTGTTAATGGATAGTTGTATCAATACCAAAATGAAAATGAGGGGATCATTTAAATTTTAAGTGTCAAAGATGAAGATCTGTGTTATTTTTTATTTTACACAAGACATTGTGAACTTGAAGACTGCTTTGGAAATCTGCAAAGAACTTCACATTTATTTTTTTCTGACAAACACACTTGAAAAGGTAAATTCTCAAAAAAAAATTACAATTGTTTTTTATTCGTCATTGACATTTCAGTATTTCACGGCAACACTAAGAAAAACTTAAATAAAATTACGAGGATAGTCATTATGAATGAGGTCATATTATGACCTTATTCTTATATTATTGTGACTATTTTAGGACTTTTTAAAAAATTTCATAACTGACTGTAATACTACCTCTTACAGATTGTCAGACAAAACCAATTTTTATGTTAAAATGGCCTGCCATAAAGTCTGACATCATTTACACTAGTTAAACTATAATTAGAAATATCTTAACTAACTAGTCATAAACCAGTTTCATATATCTGGAATGTCAGCGTGGTGAAGCCAATCTTGTGTTAAAACGGCCTGCAATGAAACGTTAGGTGTTTGTTTTTTTGGGGTGTTTGTTTTTTTCTTCTAATGAGATTTGCTCAAACGACTGTTGTGATTTTCCATTTTCTTCTGGTGGAGTAATTTAAAGTTTATGTAATCTGTCATGAAGACGGGGAACAGGAAGCGGCGTTCAGCGATGTTGTCCGACTACAAACGCTTTCATGTCTCCTCTGACTCCAGGCTGTGTTTAAACTTTCATCAACCCTATGAACGAAAAACGCTCTGTTTCATTTCACTCAAACCGACGCTTCGAGGCTGCGGTGACTCGTCCGTCCTAGCTGCTCCGCAGAGCCGGTTTGCCTCATTACCTGAGCAGCAGGGCCTCCTGCGGGTGCTGCGAGCCCAGTGCGTGGCCCCGGCCCTGCAGCGTGTAGCGGTACACCTCGGAGTCCTTGGAAAGAGCGCGGACGACGGCAGCCCGCCGCAGATTTGCCTCCCACAGCGGCTGCTCCCTCAGCAGCCGGTGCAGCAGCTCCTTCTGCGGAGCGGCCACTTCCACGCAGCCTCGCCATGTCCACAGCGGGCAGCCGTCACTCATCTGAGGACCAACATAGCAGCAGTCATCGCCATGTCAACAGTTATCACTTTATATTTATTAGGGTTGCCACTTTTCAGAAATTAAAATAAGGGACCCGTCCCTATATGTAAAGCAGGGTAAGGGGAAAGCGTGTCGGTTAGTGTGTGTTACCCAGAAAGCAGTTGGGCACAATATCATCGCAACACCAACACCGTGTCAACAGACCACTTCTTTAATATTAAACATACACATTTGTAGAATACTGAGCAAAACGCGTCCCGTATCGGTTTAAGATAAAATTTTTGCAAAGCGATAACAGCTGGGTAGGTCTTGCTACAAAATGGAGTAATATTTCACTGGCAGCAATGTTGACACCTTGAGATGCCATGAGACCTAAATTCTGAACATCATGGCATGGAGTCATCCCAGTTTTCCATGTCTGGCATATAACCATTCATTTTAGCTTTTAAACTGGTTATATTGATCCTGTGTTCAGACAGAGGGATTATCAGTAGCCTAGCATCGTGACCTGTTTGTTCTGAAGATCCTGCAGCTTCCACTTCGTCTTCCTAACATGGCGCCTCCTCATCCTGACTCTCATACTGATAGGGGGAACCACAGAGCTCTGTTAAGTTAAAGCTCATCTTCTGAAGTTGGGATATTTTTCCTCCAACACGTTCCAGAGGAATCACCTCAAACCAGATGTTGAACTGGATTTTATTTCAATGTCATTTGTGAATGTTAGAGCCTCATTTTTAACAGTGGAGCTATAAAGGTTGAAAATTAAGTCTCATCAATATTTCCACTAAATAAGAGGCAAGCAGAAGAAGAAGCCATTTGTTTGTACTTAATGAAACATATTTACCGTGTTTGTTGTGAATGACGTATAGTCACAAACGAACAAAATAATTAGTCCAGTTTTGACGTTTATTGAATGTTCAGAAACTACAGCGGCTGTGATGCACCACAACAAAGGTAAACAAAGTTAAAATAACCTGAACAGGTGATCAACTGAAAACCACTCCTGCCTTTTTACTCTCTGTCTCTCTTTGTCATTTAAGCACACCCGTTGCCATGACAACCACCATGAGCCGAGCTCCTCAAGCCGAGCAGAGATTACGTTAAAAACATAACATTCAGTCCGTTACGTTATTAGGTTTTCAGGATTGATATTCACTTTGCGATTAGTAATAAGCGCTCCCCTGAACACAGCGGTGGTTGATTAGTTAATTTTCAATATGAAATGGGGACAAAGCTATTTATTAACTGATTAAGTCGTGTTTTAGATTGTTCTTGAAAAACTAATCAGTCACGGCTGCACAGTGAACCCATTTATTTTTTGATTTTTTTACAGCAGACAGCCGCTCCCCTCTCTTGCAGGTACTAAATCTTTTAGGGGTACCCGACCGTATCCCGCCTACTTTCACCCTTTCATATACACACACACATATATATATATATATATATATATATATATATATATATATATATATATATATATATTTATTTATTTATTTATTTATTTATTTATTTATTTACTGACCATAAATCAGTTGACAACATTATTAAAGGAGCAGTATCATACATTTTTCAGGCACATATATTAAATATGACTTAAAAGGAATGTGACTTTGTAATTTAACGCCACATGGTCATGAAATTGGGCCTCTCTCTTTAAAATACAATCGACACTTCAGGGATTTAAAACATGACCTTAAACTGTCTCAAAACTCATTTTTCAAATTTGAATATTCTCCATAATATTTGATTTATGCGTTTCTTTTTGTTTGTTGGTTTATGTTGTTTTGATCGTCTTTGTACGTCTTTCAAGTGTTCTGAAAGACGCTTTAAATGCTTCAGGGATGAAACGATTAATTGGATTAATCTTAACTTAATGGATTATTCAAATAATTGTCAACCAATTTACTAACTGATTAATCGTTAATCAGTTATATCAGTAGAGAAACTCTAAAAAAGGTTGATCTTTTTACAGATTATCCATCGCATATTACTCTCATGACATGATGACAGTTTTAACAAATATGTGAAAGCATATTTGGAAAAAAATTAAGAAAAAATTATTTCCAACTCTCTCTCCTTAGGAGAATGCTGTCGACTCGAAGTTTCACAATGTGCTTGGTAATTGCTGCTGCCACTAGTCTGGAGGAGCCTTTGTCCTTGTATTGTTATAGCCTTCTCCTGTCTGTTCACCTTCTTGTAGGCCAGCTCCACGTCCTGCGGGGCCAGATGGTTCTCCCAGCCTCCGCTCTTCTCCTGAGCATCACTCAGCAGCTGCTGTGTTCTCTGCTGCAGACAGTTTCTTCTCTCCTCCAGATCTTCATCGCCTCCTTCAGACCAATCCTCTATTAAACTCTGTCCAGGCCAAAACTCTGGAAGCTGCAGAATGCATTTAGTTTATTCAGAAACATTTCTGTTGTAAAATCAAATTGAAATTTAATTTATCTTGTTGCGGCTGAGGAGTACCTGGAAAAGTCTGTGTGCCTCTGTAATCATGACGGATAGTCCCTGAGTGGCAGCGAGGTTCTCACTGAGGTCACGCTGGTCCGGTCGACCCAGACTGTACTTCCTGTGACCCGATCTACAGCAACAATACAGAACCTCAGTTCAATGTGGTTCTGGATCAAAGTTTGAAAACTTACATTGAAAATGCTTGGAAAGTGCTCAAATTTTACTGTGAGAAATGTGTATGAAGTGAACCTCAGCATTTCAACCAGAACCAAGATTTAAATTTGTACTTTGGAAAATGTTCATGTTAAATCTTGTTTATATGAAGAAATTTCTGTTTAGTTTTTGTTGGTTTATCAGAGTTTCATCATGACAAACAGTATCTAAACTACAGGCAGCTGCTGGTTAAATTAGAAATGCACAAAATGAAAAGAGAGGAAGAGGTGGAGTTGAAAAACCAGGAAGGAAAACAAAGAGCTGGAACAGGAGGTGATTAAAGGGTGAAGAGGAAGTCAGATATGAGGAGAAGGATGAAGGTGGTAAGGGAAGCAAATTCTGTTTGTTATATTTTTTCTGCAGTGCTTATGCAATTCAAAGTATTACATAAAAAGTACAGAAAGAAAATTTAACAAGCCTTTTAATTTCAAAAGAACACATTAGATTGCAATATATTTTTAATGTTCAAGTTTAAAAGCACTAATTTTATTAACGAAGAAATGAACCAACTCGACCCTGAAGCTGTTGAAACTAATAAAGGATACTCAACAGCTCCTTTATTGCCTTAACCCTTTAAGGCATAAAAGGGTCTTAAATTTAACTCTTTAATGCTTTAATTTATAACGACTTGTACAAAATTACTTGTTTTTTCTGTAAATCAGATAATTAATTAATTAGAAATTATTCATTTGAACATCGCATTTCAAATGGAAGTAAATTTAGGTATGATGCTAATTAGATCCAGGAGGCACTTATGGAATGAAACGGACTGTTCAATCTCAGTACAGTAATGGTTTTATTTATAATGCTATTAAACCATTGGTTTCTCATCATTGCAGCTAAATACTGCACTGACCTGGAAGCTTTGATTCCATTTTACAACAACAAAAACATGCCATCCTCTGAACGCCCCCATTGAGAAACGCTATTTTAGAGTTTGTTTTCAAGGAAATCGAAACAGACATCAATATTTGAACACGAGGAAGCTGCTAACCTACTCACCACTATGTTGAGTCCAGTAAGTCTAACTGAATATCTGCATTTCCCCCATTGTTAGCGCTCTCTGTTTTCTATCATTCCCATTTTAGCTCCAAGACGATGACTGGCACATATTTCCTCTCATATCAGGGGGTAAAATTGAGGCCAGATGGAAATTTGTGAAGGTTATATAATTTTCTCTCTCAGTGTGAACTGAGCCAACAACTTTGTATTTGAAGCACTGAGGTCAGTGTTAGAGCTGGATCTGGTCCAGATTTGATACTGTTCATGGGAGTGGAGCCACTCGGAAACAGAACCTCCTTCTGATGCAACAGAAGCAGAAAAAAGAATCTGGTTTATGTCACTAATAAGAGCTAAAGGTGAAGATAAGCACTTTAAACAGTGAAAAATCAAAGATCCAAACAGGATGTTAGGTCTAAAGAACAAAAATACTCTTTCTTTTGGATAGAATTAACTGATTAGTATCTCACCGATTTGTAATTTAACATTTGTTTCAGATTCATATCACAGATGGATAATAATGAACTTAAGGTGTAAAATGAACATTTTGTTGACCTGAAAAAACTCTTGAGTTTCTCTCATCTTCTGTTTAATTTTAAGACAAACCTGAAGCAACAGCAAACAGCAGAGCTACTAACTGTCAGAACTTTTGTAACAGGACAATGTGGATCAGCTCTCCCACACCCAAAAGGGGGCTCTCTGCAGACTCAAAGTGGGAATTTCTAAAGAGTAAGCACTGATTGGCTAGTTCCAGCATCAGAAATATTTCAGAAATTTACAAAAATCCCTTTCGGTGACTGTTAAGAAGTTTAAAAAAAAATTGTTAAGAGTACAATTTCATTATCTACATAACATTCTAAATAATCTAATGTTATCTAAATAACATTATTTTATGAATTAGTATGAATTAGATTTTTAAAATCTTTAAATTATTATATTAGGGCCATACTAAGAAAAAATTTTAGAAAAATAAAATTATGAGAATAAAGTCATAAAAATTACTAGAATAAGTCATAATATTACATTACAATATTACAATATTTGAGTTGTTGGTAATATAATTACTATTCTCGTAATTGTGTTTATTTTTTTTGTTTTCTTCGTATGTCCCTAATGCTCCATCATAGTTTTTATTTACTTATGTCAGTTTCACATCATTTCAGTAACGAAAGCGATTTAGTTTTTAATGTAATGGCAAAATATGAACATTTAGCCCTACTTACTTGTAAACATCTCTACCATTAGCTATTAAAACATTTATGTTGATGCTCTTATTTTGAAATGTAACCAGATGTTCTCTGTTAAGAGAGGTGGAAGGATAAGTTATGGAGATGCTGCTAATGTCGGACCAGGTAACACAATCTGCCTGCTGAATTTAGTTTCTCGTGAAACTACATAATTAAAGGAAAATCCGATGCCACAGAAGTAAGTTAGCAATATAAAAAAAAAATAAAAAGTCTGTGCTGTAACCCAGGTTAAACACCTGGTGTTCGGTGTTCTGTTCTTTAAACCCTGCAGCTGTGGTCTTTGCTCACCTGGCTGCGTTGCACTCCCTCTTTATGGTGTTGAGGTGGAAGAGAGACGGCGCCAGGCAGACGGCCACATTGGTGGGGGTCATCTGATTCTCATCCACACAGGCTGCGACGTCTCGCAGGAAGAACAGTAGCGTCCGCAGAGCCTCCCTGTTCTCATCAGGAAGGAGCAATATGGCCGCCTGAGCCGCAACCAGCTGGTGGTCCTTCGGAAAGTCTGGAAGTAAAACAGCTTCGATTTGTACATGTACAAAGTTACTTGGTTTAATTTGTTTGTCACATATATATATATAACCATATATCATATTTTAATATGTTTTAATCTAAAAATAAACTAGGCATGCAAATTTAATAACCAAATAGTTAATAGATTTTTGCAGGAAAGGCATATGCAGCCAAACCTTTGTCCTCTTTATCTAATCAGACTGTTTGCTTTTTAAAAGCAAATCATTGAGTCCTCAAGATTTTTTGGGCTTTATTGATAAAAGTAGAAACAAATTTGGTCTATCAAGAGCAGGATTTGGGAAAACACTTCAATAGTTAATACATTTTAAAATAAGCAGATTTGGTTGTACCAAAGTGCTTTTCATTAAAGATCACTGGATAAAATATCCTATTTACTATGAAATTAAAGAACAATTAACTAGAAGTGTTGCAATTAAAAGATAAACTAAAATAGTTGCATAATAATTTTACTCAAATTAAAAGTAAATAGTCTCCATCTTCATAAACCTATTACATGTGCTACAACTTCATAGTTTTCAAAGAAAAAGCAAGCTGGTTCAACAAAACCTTTCTGGAAAGTTGTTTTCTACTGGATGTAAGGCAAAACATAAGATCCAATCTAGTTTCGATGTATTCCGATACGGGCATCATTCTCTGATGGATATTGGACCAAAACTGCCACCTTAGGCTGCACAGTGCTGTTGATGGACGCCTTATTCTGACAATGACTTTACTCGAGACATTTCTAACATATTTTTTTAGATTTAGCAGATTAAAGCAAATGTAAGAGCAAACTTGTTATAGAAGCCTGCTGTTATAAAGCAAGTTGTTCGCTACTCAGCATCACCTTTTTAGTGGAATCCTGTTTCACAGCAGAAAACACTTGTTTTTCAAAAACTGGACTTTATTCTCTTGCGACCTAGATAAGTAAAACATTTGGTTCTCATGCAAAAAAGATCCAAAATAATAAAAAAAGTCAAGTTAAAAACATTTTTGCTCACATTGGTAAATGTGGAGGAAGGTTTCACAGAGTTTGCTGGTGAATATGGGTTCAGGTAGGTCTCTGAAGTACTGCTTCACCATGTCGGCAACGTCGAAGGCTGACTGACCCTCGAACGAAAATCTGTCTGGATCCAACTCAATCATTTCACGCAGGTACTGGATACGAGACTTCACCCCAGGCTTCCGGAAAAGACCCAACTGACAGAAACAAAACATTCAGAAAACAACAAGAATGTTACTGATTTAATTTGCACACTTCCATTAATGCACTGATTTTTCATTTTGTGCTTTTGATAACTTTGAACACATTTAGCTTCCCCTAAATTAATTCTTCCGAATAAATTCTAAAGTGTTAATTACTTGGCTGTTTTGCAAACTTAGCACAGTTGTCATGTAACCCTTTTTTATACATTATAAATTACAATATGCAAATAAATCTAATTCCCTTTTTAAAGATAAGAAAATAAACATTTCATGGTCTTAAAAGCAATAACAGCATTTCCTTTAGTGAAGGCTTGATCAAAGTATGCTTCTACAGCTAAAAAAATACTTCTAACAATACTTATAAGTTCAGCCCTTTCTAAATGACGCAGTCAATACATAGTAGAGCTAATCTGCTGATAATTTTTTGGATTAATCAATTAATAATTGGAAAGCAAAATGTATTTAATTGGAACATTTTTATTTTTTATTTATTTTTTATTTTTTTTTTTTGCAGAATTTGAACCAGGTGAAGCTGAATCTAGGTCACTTGACTTTTGGGTGAAACATATTTACAGACAAAGGTTTTTGTTTTATCTTAAATGCAAAATGTAAATATTTTGTATTTACTTAATTACTGTTCCTTTAGTATTTGGCCTTTTTTGAGGTAATTAACCTATTACTAAATTAGTTGATTATTTCAAGAAACGTACAGGAACAAAAAAAAAAACAGACAGCAGAGAACAAGTTATACACATAAATACAATATCTAGAAATTACGAAATGTGTATATTATGTCAAAGTTAAACTGATGCTTAAGGGTTGTAGTCTTTCATTAGACATAATTTGAATTGAATTGCTTTCGCATCAGCTATTTGTGTTGTTGTGTTGCTTCAGCCAAACTGAGTTTTATAATTTGTGCTTTGAGGTTAGCAGTGCCCACCACTGGATTTGACCCAGTTCTCCATTCTTTGTTCTGACAAAGCAATGGGAAAATAATTGAAGATGTTTTGCTAAAACAATATTACTCAAAGCTTTGATGAAACTGTTAACTGTTGACCTAAACTGGTCTTTGGCGTTTACCTGGTCCAAACACTCAGTCCTCAGGTAGACCAGTGCTCTGAGGATGCAGGGAGGAAGTGGTTCTCCTGTCTGCTGGACACTGACAAGCAGAGGAACCCCGAACACCTGCCGACCTTTCACCTCTGTTGTCATCTTGGTCTTCGTCAGAGTTTTGGGAACAGTCCTGCAAAATCCAGAGGCCCCATTAGACCCTGTAATCCTCGGATGTGAATGAGGAAGCAATCCAACAGTGTGTACATGTGCACAGGGAAAAGTTATGGAAATTAATTGGGACTGATAAACTGTTTGGAAAATGATCTGGGAATTTGTAATCTCTTTAAGTCAAGTGTTTAAAAAAAAAAAAGCTCGGCTTGGCAGCCTGTTGGATTCATTTCCTTTTGAAGGAAAAGCCAAAATAAACATTTTTTTGGTTACATAACTCCCCAGTGATCGCTGAGACGTGTGTGTCGCTCTAATCACCACTGGAGGAAAAACATGGACATTTATCAAAGAGACTAGAATTTCTGAATGACTTCATGGATTTGGGCAGATCTGGTCCACTTTTTCGCTGGTGAGTATTCCCCAAGGCTTCCTAAATTATTAATCAAAAACACACCATTATGATTTGTTAAAACAGCCCAAAAGAAAAAAAAATCTTCTGTTGTCAGCTTTCTCCGAAGCACAGTCTCTCTTTTACTCCCTCTGGTTCTTCTATGACATCCAAGAGAGGCTCTCGGAAACAAATGAGCTATTCCGAGAAAAAGTGCCTCAGAGTGCCACGCTTTGTCCCAATCAGCAGTTAATTGCTGAATTTTTAATCATTAAGTTCTCACTTTGGGATCGGTGATTATGCTGAAATGATAACACTTGAATAGATTGTTCAACCATTGAGATTTCTCCCCCCCTCCTTTTCTGCAGGAACACTAAGCTAAAGAGTGCTGAACGGACACTTTTATTGTTAATGTTTTCATTTTCCACTTTAATTACTTTTAGATTCAACTGTCATTTAATTTAAGTCCAAAAATTAGAAGTATGCCTATAAATCTTATGCTTGTTGATATAAAAAAAAGCAATTAACTTAACTTCCTGTCTTTAACAAAAGGAGAATGCTTGTTTACTAAATATCTTCCATGTCTTTTGGTTTTCTACAGATTAAAATAGATAAAAGTTCTAGAAACCAAAAAATCACCAAAAATGTTAATATTGCTATGTGGGATTATAAAAAGCCTTTTTATTTTTGCAATTTTAGTAAGATCAAGATAATCTAAATATTATAAATGAAAACTGAAACCTCAGCAGCTGTAACCCTTCAGGTCAATTAGCAGTTTCCAGCTATTTGTGGTGCAGCTGTGGTCCCTTGTGAATATGTGGAGT